CACACACACACACACACACACACACACACACACACACACACACACACACACACCCTCATCCTCATCCTCTCCCATGATAGACGAAAGATTAAATTCCCGCGCGTCAGCTCGTTCTCCACGCGGAGTTTTGCTGAAACCGCGTTCTGAAACACGCTTCTGCATTTTTGGCGGCCTGACACAGCCGCGTCAAACGTCGGGTTTCAGCGTTTTGCGCCTTTCACGCGAAACCGCAGTACTGCACGACACGGCAAATTAATTTATCAAACGCACCGTGCCAGGGTATGACGATCGCTTTTCAATCGTTGTTTATAACTCGTCATTATAACTTGGGCTTTCCTATAATGCTCCAGAGTGCTGTCCGCGATATAATAGTATTCAAACTCGCGGATGTCACCCGGGTAGCAAATAGTTACGAGTCTGCGATGTATTCATTCGTTACTTATGCATGTACAGAGAGGGAATAACTATTGACATCTTGAAAAGCTTCGAAATACGAGAGTAGGAGGAAAATGTATTCAACAGAAACTGCGTAAATATCAATGATCATCACTTCAAGCGCCTTCTGTAAACTCTTTTCATCTAGTTAATAAAATACTTTTATCTTTCGAAAATATTCAAGGTGGTAATAATTATCGCTTTACTCTGTACAGTTATTTTATGTATTTATTTATTACGAAAGAAACATTGTTGGTGTGATATTTAGATATTAGATGGTTAGTCAAATAATTATAAGATGCGGATAAATGGGTATGGTTAAGGTAAAAATTGTAAACCAAATCCCTTTTTTTGGCGTTTAAGTTGAAATAAATAAATATATAAAGTACACGCGCGCGCGTGTGTGTGTGTGTGTTTGCCTGCGTATTTATTATTATTTATCTATTTACTTATATATTTCCACATATTTATTTATATTTTATATATTTGTTTAGTTATTGTTAGAAAAATCGATAACTTGAAGAATTAATTGATTTCCTATATTATACACTCGTTGGGAACGTAATTTTACATTCATTGACGTAATATAAATACTACGTAAGAAAATGGAAAGTTGAATGCGAACCAGTGTCAAGATTTTCGCACGACGTGCTGCGAACATTGCTGGTCGTTAACAGCGCGGAGCGATAATAATCCCTATTTTAAAGGGAAATCCTTCGAAATCCGACGGGCCGAGGGTCGTCGTAGGTCGCACCGTGTCGCGGTAACCTAGTTGCACCGCGGTCGGGCCGAAAGCGTCGAAGCACTGCGTCGCTTTTAATGTTCCACCGCAGAGGCTCGCGTGCCGAAGGCCAGGTCGAAACGCGCCGCTACATACACGCGCCGAATCGTAATCTCGGGGGGTATCTCATCACGCGATATGGTCAGCCGGTTTCTTCTCCGTCCAATTAAGAGGCGCCTATCGAGCGGCCGTTTTACCGCAGCTGCACGCCACCCTTTTCGCACAAGTCGTCACCGCGTCCTCGGCGTGTCCGTTGCGTCCGCTGCGTCTTCGTTCTCTCCGGCTCGCGGAGTCGCTCTTCCTCCGTCTCTCCCACTCTCTCTCTCTCTCTCGCGTGTGAAAGAGACTCGCAGCGATCATTGAGTCCTTCCATCGTCATTCAGTCAGCGCCTCGAACTTCTTTCTATCTTATCTTCTCCCCCGACTTCGGCTTGGAAATGAAGTGAAGCCTGCGGAGATAAAGTGCGTTCTCGGAAGAAAGACTACCGCGTGGTTACGTAACGCGATACTCGATTGACGTATGACCACTTGTCGAACAGCGTCAGCGTGCCTCTCCAAGCAGCCCCCTCCCCTCCGCCTCTTCCCTCCAATCCGTTTGCGCATTTGCACATTTAATACGGCGCGAGTGACTCATACAGGCGCGCGATCGATATGCGAATCATTATTTGTCGCCGGTGTTCTCCGTGTGATAAAGTCAGCTTTATATCGGCGTGCGTGACGAATTTTTTCGCCGGACGGCGAAAGTGGCAGTGCGCCAATGACGAAGGAATGCGACCGACGATGCTCATTAATGCGCGCCAGATCTCCGTACGCCAGATGTGTATCGTCGCGCGATTATCGTGTCTCCCGATAAAAGAGCGCTCGACGACCGAGTCGAGGAGAGAGTGAAAGATTTTTCATCCGGCCGGCGATATCCTCGGCTTTCCATTTCCCGGTGAAAATTCGCCGGAGCGCTCGTATCCCGCTTTTCGATTGACTACCCACGTCGCGGTGGCTGAACTCTTTCTCTCTCTTCTTCGCTCTCTTCCTTTCCTTCTCCGTTCTTCCTCTTTTTCCCTGAAATAACCGGGCGATCAGAGGGACGACATGACTGGAAATCGATAACAACGCGCAATCCACGATCATTTTCGCCGATACCGCAGGGCCGAGTCACATTTGATATTTGAGCCGGAGGGAGAACTATTTCGATTTCCGCGGGCACAGCGACGCGCCGCTCCGCGTCCGATACCACGCGGACCGACGTTCGCGACCTAACCCACTCCCGTCGCGATTCTATTTATATAACGACACGTTTCTTTCATATATATGTGTCTTTTACATCATTTCTTCTTTTTTCACATCGCTGTTGCAGGAACAAACCGAAGACCTTCGCGTTCGACCACTGCTTTTACTCCCTCGAGCCCGGGGTAGACAACTTCGCGAGCCAGGAGATCGTCTTCGATGCCCTGGGTCGCGATATCCTGGACAATGCGTTTCAGGGTTACAACGCCTGCATCTTCGCTTATGGACAGACCGGTGAGTGGCCGGAGAGAGTCTCTCGCGATCACCTCTTGGCTTCTTATCCTTACTCCCGGCCGTTGCGCCCAATTCGCGACACCATCGTAACTAGTGCTGCCGGTATAATCCGGGTATTTCGATCCGGGTAATACTTATGGGTTTGAGTGCCCCCGGTCTTTCGGGATTACCCGGCTATGCACTATTCGCTGATATTACCTGAGTACCCGGACGCCCGTATATTCACGGATATTACCTCAGCGAGCAGAGAATAGAAACGAGTAAATAGTTACGAATCTACGGTACATCTGTTTGCTTGTTATTATCGTTAGGAAAGTAAATAATTTGTTACATACGTAATTAATCGTATACTTACCCGGGTAGTCGAAATTAGCAGCACTAGTTGCACATTAGTGCTGTATTGGTATAATTCAATATTCGGCTAATAATCTGCGAGTTTAGGTACGGTCAGTCACGAAAAGGTTGCAACACGTTTGTTTCTTCGATGAATTCTGCAACGCATTTCGAATCCAATAGGAAAATGTATGTCCTGAAAATTGGACACGGAATGCGTTCCGAAACTTATTAAGCAAAAAGAGTTGCAATTGTTTTGCGAATGTGACCATACCCGGATATACACATTCGCGGATATTACTCGGAAATCTACTTTTATGGATATTACCCTTGCAACCGGAAAATAGTAACGAGTAAAATAATCACGAATCTACAATACATTTGTTTGTATTGTTTGTTATCGTTAGAAAAATCAGTGATTTGTTACATCTGAAACTAACAATTGAAGATAGCCGTTATATTGCATTTATATTGTTGAGTGAAAAATTATAACGTTGATGTTATGTTACTGTTAATTAACATTTACCGGGTACCAAACTCGCGGATATTTGTCCGGGCTTCCGGGTAATCGAAATTAACAGAACTAGTTATAATTAGTGTTGTCAGTATAATTCAAGTATTTCGATATCGAATAAAACTCTACAGGTCTCGGGTATCTACATATTCTTGGGTCACTATTTGGGTACTCGCAAACCTATATTTACGAATATTACCCCGGCAACCAGAAAATAATAATTAGTAGATAATTACAATAATAATTAGTCCACAACACATTCGTTTGATATTGTTAGAAAAAGTCAACGATTTGCCTGAAATCAACCGTACTCAGTTACCCGAGTTTCCGAGTAACACCGGAAAGATCTACGTTATCCAAGTACCGGAATAATCCTAAAAGACCCGGGTGGTCGAAACTGACAGCACTAGTCGCGTAACTCGACAGCGCGCAAATCATATTCGACGAGAACGACCAAGAAGCGAGCAGGCGGTCGCAGTTGATCGCACGAACGAAGTGTAACGCGGCAAATAATGCAATTATCCGGCCGCCTCGTCACCGATAAACGACAAGCACGCTTGATCTTCCGCGGGGCGAGAGACATTGACCCACGAGGCGGAACGAGCCACCGCTGCTGACAACGTATGCTCTCCCAGCTGAGCGGCGATCCGCGTGCGTTATGAGCGGAAGAGGAGGCGCGACGAAAGAATGGGATTACGTGCTTTTTTCTGAAGATTTCTCGCTCGTCCTCTTGTCATTCAACGAGTCGTTCTTGATCCGTATTCTCACCGCCGCTCATCGCGGAACGAGTCCTAGATATTGTTTTTTTCCAAATTCTTGCCTAGCCATATCACGGAGTCACGGAGAAACCTAGGAAGTTGTCAATCGTTTGCTTAATCCCCCGTTAATCGCGACTATCCAATAGACATATAAGTTCGGACTGCAACTTATCGCCGTTGCTATACTACAGCCGCCTCAAGGTCGAATTCGTTCTCGTCAATGTTTTGTTCTTCCTTCTCTTTGTTCTTCACTGTTTTTTATGTACTTTAGCGCCTGGTCTATTAACCAAATGCTAATGAGGGAAGAATCGTCTCGAGAAGCGGAGGAAAATAACGAGAAAAATTAGTGTACACTGTTAACTGTACCATGTATCGTCAAAGTTAAAGGTACATGTTGAAATAAAAATTACGTAACTACGAGGGACATTTCGAAGTACGTACTTCGAATTTGGAGGTACCACACGATAGCAAATTCGAAGTACGTAATGTCGAAATGTCCCTCGTAATTACGTAAGGTTTTTACTTCAATGCGTATCTCCAATTTTGGCAATACAGAGTTAACTCTTGAAAGCCCAAGTAATCGACTATCTATTAACCCCAATGGGTCAAAATCCTTCCTAATGCTATTTTTTCACATCGGAAAGAACTCAGTTGTTTACGTACTATTTTTATGAACTCTTTAGCTACAAAAGGGCATATATACACGTGTATGTACACCCTTAGATGTTCAGTTAGCCAGAGTTTAACATGGTTGTAGGGTCGATTGGACCCTGTTGAGCTTTCTGGGGTTAACAGTGTGTCCGTGAAGATACATTGCGATCATTCATGGGTGAAAAAAATTGCAACTAGCGGAGTTAGGGTTTAAATATCGTGTTCAGCAGGATATTAGAGGAAAGACCTGCAATTGGTAAAGTTTCTTTCTTTCGAGAGCTTGACGCGGATATAAAAGTGTCCACGGAGTGTCAATTCGAGGAAAAATCTGAAAACCTCCGGGTCGATTTATAAGTGTGCAAATATTGATCTTAAGCTTAAGAGCACTTACCGGAGAAGGTGGCGAAGAGGATTTTAAAGCCGGTTTCTCTCGTATGCGCGCGGCTCGACCCTGTAGGCTCCGGGAAGTCTTACACGATGATGGGCAGTGGCGACAATAAAGGGATAATACCGCGGCTGTGCGACAATCTCTTCGACATGATAGCGAAGCAACAGAGTTCCGAACTCACGTACAAGGTCGAGGTGTCGTACATGGAGATTTACAACGAGAAGGTGCACGACCTCCTGGACCCGAAGCCGAACAAGCAGTCACTCAAAGTTAGGGAGCACAATGTCCTGGGGCCCTACGTCGACGGGCTCAGTCAGCTGGCGGTTACTTCGTTCCAGGTGACTGCCTAATTTCTCCCGTTACACCGAGCGAATCCGCCTCCGTGTGGATTATTTTATATAATTAATAAAATTAATTGTGCGCATTTTTTTATTTTTTTTTTTAGTAACTAGTTATTTTTATTTTGTGATTTCCACTGGACGAGTCTAGGGTTTGAAAACACCGAATTGACTCGAGTTGCATTTTGTGCGTTCTCTTCGAGAGAGAGAGAGAGAGAGAGAGAGGGAGAGAGAGTATCGCTTCATGAATAAATAAACAGATAAATTCCGACGAATAATTAATGACGGGCAATTATTTTAATTTAATTATGGACAATGGCTTATTAAAACAATTAGTAGTTCATTTAAATAAATAATCGTCCGTAATTCGAACAATCGACACTTATGGAAGATATCCCAATTATTACAGGACATTGATAATCTCATGGCGGAGGGTAACAAATCGCGAACGGTCGCGGCGACGAACATGAACTCCGAGAGCTCCCGTTCGCATGCCGTGTTCTCGGTAATTCTCACGCAGACCTTAACGGATTCGAAGAGCGGGGTCAGCGGGGAGAAGGTCTCGCGGATGAGCTTAGTGGATTTAGCTGGGAGCGAAAGGGCTGTGAAAACCGGAGCAGTGGGTGATAGACTTAAAGAAGGAAGCAATATTAACAAGTAAGTAGCTCTTTCCCCGTCGGGACAGCCCTCCGTAAACGAATTTCCCGATCGCTCGCGTGTGAGAGTTTGATATGAAGAGAGAAAGAGAGAGCGCTGCACGTTTTTCGTTTATCAGGTCCCTAACGACGTTGGGTCTAGTCATTTCGAAGCTGGCGGATCAGAACTCTGGGAGCAACAAGAACAAGGACAAATTCGTGCCGTATCGAGATTCTGTTCTTACGTGGCTCTTGAAGGTACCACGTTTGTGTCGCTTGCTTAAAAATATCGGGTTGGTGCAAAAGTTCGTCTTGTTCATTTTTTTTTTCTTTTCTTTCAATCGCTTTTTCGCTCAGAAATCTTAGAATTTCTGTGAACTGGGGATCACGCAGCTATCGGAAAGATGGCAGATCATCGAGCAAACGACATACATTTAATTGATTGATTGTACTTTTTAATAAATAAATGTTACGTGTATATTTTGACTTTGACATTAATTGAAAAACTGAACGAACTTTTGCATCAACCCAATATGTACTCCTCTGTGTGTATATGTGTGCGTCTCGATTATCAGATATATACATATATATAATCACATATATATGATAATTTGAAAAGTTGGGAAGAACCCAGTTTTTTAAATTTTTTGTGGTTTTTCAGTCTTTTCCGCGGTTAAATGAAAAAAAAAAAATGATAAAAACTTTTCTTGTTTAATTTCTTCATGAATTTTTTCTAGTTTCTTTTCAAGAAAAATTGTAAAAAGCGGGGTTTTGAAATATATATATAATATAGTGCACCATTTTTCTTTCAAATGTTTAGGATAATCTTGGTGGAAATAGCAAAACCGTAATGGTGGCCACAATATCGCCGGCCGCCGACAATTACGAAGAGACGTTATCGACCCTTCGATACGCCGACAGGGCGAAGAGGATAGTCAATCATGCTGTGGTGAACGAAGATCCCAATGCCAGGATTATTCGGGAACTGAGGCAGGAAGTTGAGACTTTGAAAGAAATGTTGCTACACGCCACGGTGAGTCGTCTTTTTGTGCTTCATTATAGCTGTCTGTGTTTTATGCAAACATGATTGTGTGAACGAGAGAGAGAGAGAGAGAGAGAGAGAGAGAAAACGCGTCGACGACTTTTCATCAGGGCCAAGGATCGATCGTCGGTCAGCAACGCACAGACATCACGGAGAAGCTGTCGGAGTCGGAGCGGTTGATGAAGGAGATGTCGCAGACGTGGGAGGAGAAGCTCGTCAAGACCGAGAGACTGCAGCACGAGAGGCAGCAAGCTCTGGAGAAGATGGGAATAAGCGTGCAAGCGTCTGGTATTCAAGTGGAAAAGAACAAATACTACCTGGTGAATTTGAACGACGACCCGAGCTTGAACGAGCTGCTGGTTTATTACCTCAAGGTGCGCAAGCATACCACTAGTCGTTCGCGGTCGCTTTCATCGTATTCATCGTCTTGGGAACATAAGTTCCCAATAAGCAAAATATTAGCAATGTGCCGGCGTATTGACAGCAGATCCGATCAGAATATCGTGGTAGATCCATAACCATCTGTGACCGTGTTAAGTTTGTCATTATGTCGACAGAGTTACTGACGTAACTGTTGATATCAGATCGACGGTGGGAACTGAACAGGATTTGCAGTATGTTTCCTTTAAATACATTTGCCCAACAATTTGCCCAACAACAACATTTGCCCAACAAGCAAAATGTTAGCAGCATATCTATAGATTGGCAGAATCTGCGGTATTCTACTTAAATAAATTTAAATGGGAACAGAACGACAGATCTTCGTTTTCTGCCGTCAATTTGCCATTGTTCTATTATATTTCTATCAGTAAAATATCGACCAAATTTATCATAGATATTATACAAAATTTGCTTCTGTAATTCGCCATCTGGGTAAAAAAGTTACGACAGATTCTGCTAAATTTCTGCCGTCAATCTGCCAGCATGTATTCTGCTGTATTTCCGCCAGCAATTTGCCGACAAAATTCCCAGCAGATATTTACTGCGCAAAATCCGCATTATTTTCTATTCAATCTGCTTCAATTCGGTTTTGCGGTTGTCCGGCATTTTGTGCATTTCCGATTTTCTCCCGCAGGAGAGAACTCTCGTGGGCGGTCGCGCGGCCAAGATCGAGCAGGACATTCAGCTGCACGGCTTGGGTATCCTGCCGGAGCACTGCGTCATCACGATAGAAGAATCAGGCCTGTACATGACGCCGTTGAACGGCGCTCGATGTTTCGTGAACGGCACGCAAGTGGTGAGCAAGACCCCGCTGTTGCACGGCGACAGGATCGTCTGGGGGAACCATCACTTCTTCCGCGTGAACTGTCCGAGAAGCGCCACAGGTGCGAGCCGATCACTAATTTCGAGATAAGACGCGCCAGACAATCGCTAATGGATTCTCGTTCTGTACGCAGCGATCAACAGCGAGCCTCAAACTCCTGCGCAGAACATCGACTACAACTTCGCCCGGGAGGAGCTTATGCTCAACGAGCTCTCGAACGATCCCATTCAGAGAGCCATCGCGAGACTGGAGAAACAACACGAGGAAGATAAGCAGGTACGCCTCGCTTTTCTTTTTTTTAATAAGCATCGAGATAAACACTGTATTATCACGTATCTCGACGCGTCTCCAAGGTCGCGTTGGAAAAGCAGAGGCAGGAGTACGAACGGCAGTTTCAACAACTGCGCAACATACTGTCCCCTTCTACGCCCTACTCGCCGTACGTGCCGTACGACCCCCTGAGAGGCAGCCAGAGCGGAAAGCTCCCGGCTTGCACGCCGACCACGCAAATGCGCGTCGAGAAGTGGGCGCAGGAGCGGGACGAGATGTTCAAGAGGAGCCTGGGCCAATTGAAGACGGACATCTTGAAGGCCAACGCGCTCGTGCAAGAGGCTAATTTCCTCGCGGAGGAGATGGACAAGCAGACCAAGTTCAGCGTCACCCTGCAAATTCCTCCGAACAACCTCAGCCCGAACAGGAAGGTAACGGTGCCACTTTCCGGTGATACTCAATTTTCATACCGTCCTCATTGTCTGCCTATAATTTAAGGAACTTTCATACTTCTCGTGTGGAGAACTGTAATTTAACATTATGTATATAATTTTATAATTTATTTATTATATATATATATATTGATTATATTTTACCATTAATAGATTTTTATTAGCGATAAACGTAATTATTGTAGCTTCTTATGAGATGTAGTTGATTTATTTGCACCTCCAAAACTCGTGTTATCAACTGTGAGAGCACGTACCCCTTCCCCTTCGCCGCTTGTTTTAATTCTTTTCTCTGCCACTTGTTATTTTCCGTTTTGTTAATTTATTTGTTTCTTTTGCTTTCCTCCCTACACTCTTCGACATGTAGAGTGTATTCTTTCAGCGGGGCGCGTTCGTCAGCGAGCCCGCGATTTTAGTGAAGAGAACGAATACGGGTAGCCAAGTGTGGTCCATGGAGAAACTAGAAAATAAGTTAGTCGATATGCGGGACATGTACGAGGAACGGAAAGATCCTCACTGTCAGCGACTACCTGCTATCAAGGTACACATCTTCATCTGCCAAATAACATGCCTCTCTCTCTCTCGTAACGGCGTATAAACACGAGTTCTCTTCTGCAGGACGAAGTGCCGGGGAAAACGCAGGATCCATTTTACGAATCCCAGGAGAATCACAATCTGATCGGCGTCGCCAATATTTTCTTAGAAGTGCTGTTTCACGATGTACGATTAGATTATCACACCCCGATTATTAGTCAGCAAGGAGAGGTCGCTGGTCGACTGCAGGTCGAGATAAGTCGCATATCCGGACAGTTTCCCCAAGATCGAATTTGCGAGGCCGCCTCGGAGTCCTCCGCGGACTCATCGACATCCTCCGAGCCGGAGGATTACTCGGGTTCCAGCCACATCACCTGCCGCGTGACGATAAAACAAGCCACCGGCTTACCGCTCTCGTTGAGCCACTTTGTGTTTTGTCAGTACATGTTCTGGGGCCATTCCGGGCCGATAGTGGTCCCGCCTGTGGTGAACGCCGAGCTGCCCAACTCCAATTGTATCACCGGGCAGAGGGACTCCCTGGCATTCAAGTTCGATCACACGAAGGACTTCACTGTGCCCATCACGGAGGAGTTCATCGAGCACAGCGCTGGTAAAGATTTATTGTCGTCGCCGTTGTTTTTCCGATATCTCTTTAACCCTTTGGGACCCAATTTTTTTCTTTTTCCTCTGATAATTTGGACAATTTGTACTTATTGACGATTTGTAACTAAGTTCTTATTGTATAGAATATCTTCAGGAAATGGGACGTATATATCCCATTGGGGCCTAAAGGGTTAAGACCCAAGAAATCTTTTACTTGGAAACCTCTTGTATAAGTGCTATTTTCCATTCAAATCTACTTTAAAATCTTGAGAAAAAAATCATGAAAAAAATTTTTTCTTATACAAGTCCCAGAAAACCACCATCATCATCATCATGATGGTTGAGTGCATACACAGAAAAAATAAGTATCAATTCAAGATTCATTCTCATTTACAGGGTGAAGCACTAAAAGTGACAAAATTGTAAGATTACTGGTTAGCATTTCTGAGAAAGTGAATGAGATATGAAATTCTCATTTTCTAGCGAATTGATTAAGATCATTTCAAGATCAACTTTATTTTTTTAATGGAATCATATATATTTTTTTTCAACACAAATCGATTCCTCTGTTCATTCTGCTTATAAAAGTACAACGGTAAGATCGTCAAAAAAGAAATACTATTCGAGATATTTTATTTTTTATTCTGATATTTTTCAGTACGAAAGATATGAAATATCTCATAAATATTCTCATAAGTATTCATTTTTCGATAATATAACTTTAACTTTTATATGTAGAATGACAAGCGGGATCGATCGCTGTAAGAAAACAAAGAGAATTTAAAAAGAAAAAATCATTGCATTTTGCAAATGCATCGATGCACCAATATACGATGATTAAAGTCAATAATCAATTTCTTTTATATTATTGTGTAGAAAAATGTTAAGATGATGTTATCGAGAAGTAAATATAAGGTGAATATAAAAATGAAATACTTTATTTACATATCCCATTCAGTTTCATAAATGTTAGTCTGTAACACTTTTAGTGACTTGCCCTGTATATAAGCAAGAATATATAATCTTATATGAAGATAAAATTTAAAATTTGTATAAAGAAATTCTATACAGTTTTATTAAAAATATCATTTATTATCATTATTATTATTATTAATTATTGTCATTATCATAATTGTTATTCAAAAATAATTCTCATGAGTTGAGAAACAAAATATTAGATAGAAAGTATAATATCTTCTAACTAAGAATTGTATTAGTTTGAAGATATCGTCTTTTCTATACGTATCTAATATTTTTTCCTTAATTCATAAAAATTATTTTTTAATAACAAGAATATGATATTTTTAGTGGAAATGTATAGAATCTTTTCATGCAAATAAGTTTCATCTTCATATAAAATGATATATTCTTGCTTATACAGGGTGCCTCATATCCGTCGTGTGCAGGTAAAACGGGTGAAGCTGAGCAGAAAAATAATTTCTCTTCATATACTGTCCGATTTAACCCTTCCCGTGCATTCGTTAACTCAGATAAAATAATTAATTCCTCGAATTTTGCAAAATAGTACATAATTTTTCTGCCCAGTTTCACCTGTTCTACTTGCAGCCCACAGGAGCCGAGAACGATTCGGGGCGCCCTATATGAGGATATGAATCATGAATTAATACTAAATCTTTTTCCGTGTAGTGAATCATATATAGATATGTCTGACCTTCACGACTGTGATGGTTGAGGCTTAAAGGGATACAGAGTGTAATAGGATCACTTCGCTTGTGTCATTTATTGCTGTACGTACACCCGTAGAAGGAGCCTTGAGCATAGAAGTATGGGGCCACCGAAGCGCTGGTTTTTCGCGCAGCAAGCCCGGATGGGAGGTGGAACAGCAGCAATTGGCGAAAGCCAGATCGCTCGCCGACCGGTGGTCGGAACTGACAAGGAAGATCGAACTGTGGGTGGAGATACAAGAGCTCAACGAGCAAGGGGAGTACTCGCCCGTCGAAGTCGCGGTGAAACAGGACACGTGCACAGGTGGGAATATAATTACAGTGCAGCCTTTCGCCAGGTCGTTCTGATTGTTATTTATTGTCCGATAATTGCACACCGTTCGGCAGGCGGCATTTATCAGCTGCGGCAAGGCCAACAACGTCGGATACAAGTCCGAGTGAAACCAGTACAAAATTCCGGAACCCTACCGATAATCTGCCAATCGATATTAAATATAGCCGTCGGGAGCGTGTCCGTGCGGAATCGACTGCAAATCCCATTAGATAGTTACCAAGACGAGGACCTGAGTATACTGAGGGAAAAGTGGAGCGACGCCCTGATGAGAAGGAGACAGTACCTCGATCAACAGATTCAGAAGCTCATCAATAAGCAAGGTAAGTGCGTAAGAATTATTTCATGGGTACAAAATAATGCTTCGGTACGAGGATATTGTCTAATCCGTATTTCCTTAGAGTGTAATAATTATAACGTATTAATTGTTCTAATTTCATGTATTACTCTTTGCAGGTAAAACGGAACAAGACATAGAACGAGAGCAAAGTCTCGTGGATCAGTGGGTCAGTCTGACGGAGGAGCGGAACGCCGTCCTGGTTCCTGCGGCGGGTTCTGGTATCCCCGGTGCTCCCGCCGACTGGAATCCTCCCTCAGGAATGGAACCTCACATCCCTGTGTTGTTTCTGGATCTCAATGGTACGGTGAATTCCGCAACGGATAATCCAAATTACTTCTACGATATTACATCGATCGCTTCGATTGATTTTTCTTCAATTTGCGCTCCAGCTACCCTTGCGGACATGCGTTCAACACCATTTTACGATAGATTGTTGATTAAGGTGGTTCAATGATTAGTCAGACAATAGTGGGTTGGGAGGGAAGTAATGTCGTGTTTCCCCCAACAGATGACATTTGTGTGTTTTACTGGAAAGAAACTTCGATCTAGATGGCGTGAGTGCATGCTATTCTGATAATTGACACCTTTAAGCGTCATTTAGTGTGCGGAGGATATACGTAGAAGCGTTTGTGTTCACTTGGGCTCGAGAGAAAAATGGAGCAAAACAAGTTATACTTCGTTTGTGTCCTCAACATCTGTATCAATCGATCTTCATATACAGCTGACGACCTATCGACGCATCAGTCGGGAGAAGAAGTATCGGTGACAGGATTGAACTCGATCCTGCCCAAGGAGCACGGAAACAAGTTTTATAATCTACCGATCATCCGACACCTGGAGAAAGACGTATGTGCCATCGCCGCTTGGGACTCCAGCATACACGACAATGTGCATTTGAATAGAATAACCGATGGTGAGTGATCGTTCCTTCAAAGGACACAATGAAAGGAATAAGGAATAAAATTTCGACATATGGACAGCTATCCTTTAATCCACTTCAATCCATTATAAAGGAATAAGGAACTAGACTTAGGGAGACCGTTGAAATTCTATTCTTTATAACTCTCTACACAGCAGATTTTACCCAAGAATGTCCTGTGAACGTCCTTAAGATGTAAAACGTCCTCTGGACGTTTTTAGGATATCCCTTGGAAGTCCCTGTGCTATATGGGTCGTCTATAATATTCAATAAGTTAACCTCCAAAACCTCCAACTGTCTTGTGATCATCAATATACAAATGAAAGTTTAAGTAAATCAATAATTATTGAAAAAACTGATAAAAGCATCAATGATGACGGTGGAAAAATTTATTAAAAAATGGTAAAAATGATTATCCCGTCTTAAAACATTCTCATATTTTCTATTCCTCTTATTCTGTGTTCCAAACTATAGCTTATTTCTAATCTCTTATTCCTAGTTCCCTGCATATCATTCCTTGTTCCTTATTCCTCTCATTATATCTGAACCCTCACTCGCGACTAGAGCGAGAGTCGATGTCATCTCAACATACGATTCGCTTTCAGCGAACGAGAGGGTGTTCCTGATTCTGAAGACTACCGTTCGTCTCTCGCATCCGGCACCGATGGATCTTGTGCTGCGCAAGAGACTGGCTTTAAACATATACAAGCGGCAGAGCATCACGGATCGAATTTTCAAGAGGATCGTCCGCACCGACTGCTTAGCGCAAACCGGCGTCACCTATGAAGTGGTTTCCAACATACCAAAGGCAAGCGAGGAGCTGGAGGATCGCGAGAGTTTAGCGCAGATTGCCGCCAGCGGGGAAGATAATAGTTTGTGCGACGGAGAAACTTACATAGGTAAAAGTTATCACGTAGTTGCAATCGTTCCGAATTTCTTGAGTTCAGATCTACAATAGATATAGATAAAACTTTTTTGCTCCAAGCAATAAAATTAACATAATTTTTTATAAAAGACGTTTCCCGTGCTGCTAAAAATCGCAATGATGTTTAAATCTTAGAAATTGCAACATCTATAGGTTTATTCTGTAATTTTTAACGCCAGTCGAAGTACTAAATAATGCTGGAAACGTTTTTTTTTTTTGCTAGAGATTACGTTATAATTGAATGCTCAGAGCAAAAGGCTAAACGCTCACCACATCTATTGTGGATCCAGCCTAAAGAGATCAAAGAGATCAATCACACCGTGTTAATTATGCTAATCGTCCCTATAGAGAAGTATACCCGTGGCGTATCCGCTGTCGAGAGTATATTGACGTTGGACCGATTACGACAAAGCGTCGCTGTGAAAGAATTGTTACAAGCACAAGGACAGCCACTGATGCGGAAGACCGCAAGTGTTCCAAACTTCTCGCAGGTACTACTGCCCCTTCGACGTCTTCATTGCACTGTATGCTTTTCACGTTTAATTTCTCTCGTATATTTATTTTATTACATCATAAAATGAATCTTCCCTTTTTTTTTTTATCATTCACGTATGTCAACTTTTGTTTCCGTTTCTTTCCGAAATATTACTTTATTTCATCTTGAAAAGCCGCCTGTGATTCTACTTTTTACATGCTTTTCATGCACACATATATATTATTCGTCTTAATATGATATATATATATATATATATATATGTCATATTTCTGAAATAAAAACACGGCTTTGTGAACTCTCTCGTAGATTATGAGATTCGACACGTCGATGGACTCGTTGAACGTCACGCGCTCGGAAAGTGTAACTGATCTCAACACGGAAATGAATGGCCTCCCGCACGCGCGACGTGCGTCCACCGGTCACGCGAGAAACGACGAAAACTTCATATCTGCGCCGCCGAAGCCGTTTGGAATCGGTAAGCACATCCCTCGTTTACCTCGGATTAATATTATAATTCGTCCGTACGGATATATAAGTATAGATACATTCTATGATTTCTTAATTTTCCGCGTGTCCGTGCCGTCTATCTCGAATTCTTGACATCTCACCGTCGTCATTGAGCGAAAATACGAAATACATCTTTACGGCTTATCGATGTATCCCCGAGACTAGATCGTTTATGAAATCATAGAAAACAAAAGGCAATACGAAAACATCATGGCACACGAGCGCTCCCACGTTCATCCATACGACGATATATGCATCTTTTCACTCATGCAATCATTCATAATCATTCGCAGTAATCCATTTTGCGTCAAGTGTAAGATAGATTCTCTCGAGATACGCAGCCTGATGTATAGTAGCACTAGTTTTTTGGACAGGCGGATCACTTTGTAAAAATTTTGTCGGACACGAAAAATGGATTACTCCCGACAGAAAAATTGTGATAGGGGTTTCAACGAGAGACTTTATTTTGGATTTTAACTACTTACGCAAACTCATCATTTCTTGAATGCAACATTTAGTTCGCTTAAGTCACTATTAAATTCTTAAATTAACGCTTTTATCTATCTATATATATATACATATAAATTTAACAAGCATCGTGTTTCTAGGGGACTTTAGTCTTAGATTAAGATTTTCATTTATGTTAAGACCACTTTCCACTGCCTTGTTTTGCTTCCTTGAGTCTTATTCGATGAAAAATCAATCAGTTTGTTTCTGAAATGTGGCTTATGCAGTGTTTTTTCGATATATTTCACTTTGGCTATGACGGTCACTTTACATCCCACCCTAGTTTTGATTGTCTTCAAGCTCCACTATTACCTCCGTTTTTAGTACAGAACATATTGATTTTGGGCAATGGAGAAACGTTCTGTCTATATTTTAATTAAAATTCATGTCATCCATCATTATAGCATGTACCCTTTATGTGTGTCTGCGATTGCTGCTCTATTGGCTACAGTAGTTCACGAAGGTTCAAAGTACGTCGGTTACTTTGCGTGAAACGCGCACGAACGAACCGTTTGAACGCGTGTGTATGTGTGTACACGTATGATCGACGACGCTACGAAAGGGTACTGCTGCTTCATCTAAAATAATCGACGACCTCATCACTTGAAAATATTTGGTAACTTCCATTTTCATTATTAGTAATTACCACTACACTGAAATTTTATATCATTATAATTCTAGCTTCTGTCATATTGTTATGTCACCAAGCTATGTTCAACTTGATGATCCGCACGATTCTAGTGCAAACGCGTTCCCCCCACTGATATGTAAAGATACAGCGTGAATTTACGTGGTTCCTCGATGACTCTTGACCATTTAGAAACGAAGAGAGTTGAGCATGGTAAAAGAAAGAGGAAGCTATTTTTCTCAAATCTGCCTAGTGTTATTTAGCCAGCTATATTTAAGCTCCACCACTTATTACAATAAATAAGACACTAACGAACCTTAAGCAATGAATCTACAGCAAAATTCATGAATATCGACTAATTAATGTGTGCAACTTATCTGTTCCTCTGTTTTAACACTACGTCTACTACTTCTACAACTATTTCGGCCCACGCAAGGCTCCATTCTGAACTCAGGTAAAATGGAGTCTTGATTTGATATTTAATTGACGCCCACACAGGCAATGACAATTAGTATATACATATGTCTCGTGAGTGGTTGAGTCTGTCTGTCTCGTTTTGTTTTCCAAGTTCGCCTTAGTACATCAGAGACATTATTTGTGATATAGCGATGTTCAGAACGGGAATGCGTTTTGACGGATGGTCAATATATATATATAATATATTTATATATATATGTTTTCGCGAGCATCATTTGTTCGGTTGAGTTGGCTCAAGAGAAATTTTAGCAAACTTCACCGTTTCCGAAGGGGAGGAAGGCGATGTTTAATGTTATTGCTGACCTCTTTGGTTTGAGTTGAATGCGAATTTCGTTGCGCGAACGTTGTTATTATTATTATTATTATTATTATTATTATTATTATTATAACATTTCAGTCTCTACGATTTTAGTTTGCATGCGTGAATGCATTTCTTGTGTGCCTAGCACATCCAGCAAGTTCGTTCATTGAATTACTGTCTTACTTTCCTTACACTTTATGTGACTGATTTGATATGTTACTGTTCACGGCTAACGTGTAAGTAATATATACCGGCGAGCAATATCGTATTATATATATCTCTATATATGCCCTGTCCTCGTCGTCGCACAGTTTTTTACCAAAGATCATCGCATAGAAATCATTTTCATTTCCATATGCCTATTTTCATGATTCGTGACCCGACGTATGATTCTCAAAATCTAGCTTCTCGTGAGTGTTTCGATGAATCGAGATGATTTCTATAATGATACCCCCCTCCGATGATTTGTTGAGTGTACGGATTTCGTTACATTTGACAAGTTGACTTCGAGATACGTAAATTATAATCAAAGGTCGAGCCGTTGTATTACCGTTGCGCCAAGTAAATCGCGACGTTTCGATCTTTGTTATACTTGTGAATGTGTGCTATCGAGCAATACTCTAGACAGAGAGTAGAGAATTTATTGTAACATATATGTGTAAATAAGTATTTTCGATAGTCGATATATCAGGCGAGGATTATTCTGTCTGTGATCGTGCGAGACGATTTAGTTTGCTATCTAAACTCATCGTTGTCATCGTGTGACATAATTAATTAATTTCACTATTATTGTTTCAATAAAATTATTTGAATAAAATTGTAGATCAATTGTATTAATCTTAAATTATACATAACGGAAAAAAAAGATCAAGACGAAGAGACAGAATAAACTTCTCAAGTAAGCAAGAAAAATAGAGGGAGAAGCGAACAAAAGTTCATATTTTACATTTTCGATTGAATTTACGCAGTAAATTTACGATACATAAATTATCTCCCTTATCTTTCTTAGAAGGAGACCTAGTTTAAAGTCAGGGTTACGTTTGTCTAAGTATAAGATCGTTTGTGAACAAGAACACGTACAAATAACCAACCAGAGTTCAAGTCGGCTTAGTCATGCATGTTAATACGATTTGAAAACTAGCGCAGCATGTATGGTTAATTAATAGTTCGACAGTAGTAATAAATACATTGAAAGATCCCACATTAGATAACTGTCGTAATGTTTAGCGTAACAAAGAGACCACCACCTTCGACTTTAAACTAATCATCTCTGAGAATCTATCTTTTGAATTCACAGTGCACGTCGTCGAATTGTGTGGTACTCGTGCTCCTTTTCTCTACACCTCGTCGTCTGTCGTGATAACAGCGATACGACACATTTCGAGCACGTGCATTAAAAATTAGTTAAAGATGCAATGGTGAGTTATTGAAATAGAACCGATCACGTGATGCGAATGACGGTGAAAAATAGCGATGAGCAAAGTTTACACGGCCAAAATTTTAATATTTACGAAGTGTGTGAGACTTACACACCAAGTGTTGTATCATATCGATGTTTCAATGAATGGGATTGCGATGTGACGTACACACTCAGTGGAACTTCTCTATATATTAGAATGCGCATAATGAACGTTATCTGTCTACCACTACTACTACTATTACTACTACTTGTCTCACTATCCAGTGTCTGTAGCCTGCAGGCATGATTTGTCACAGTATACAAGTCCGTATATATTGAAAAGGTCTGTAAAGCTCATACGAAGCTCGCCATTATGGGGATAGTAGAAAGCGTTTTACTAGTAGCGGGGGAAGGAAAAGAAGTATAATCAGTGCATCTATCTCCTTTCAGCGAGACCAACTTTCCTGAATCTGAACCTGAATCTCAACTCATTGACTCGTCTTCAACAATCTACCTCTGCCAAGTGTAGGTGACACTCGTTGTCGGTCACCCTTTCAAACTGACTCGGAAAGTAGCATTCCCCCGGTATTGGGAGAGAATGAGAAAGAGAAGTGTGTGACAGCGAGTTTGAGGAGAATCTCAATGTCGTATGAGTTTGAAAGGGTGAATTCCGTAATTCTCTTGTGATGTAACTTGGTTTTTCTGTTTTCTTTCGACCATTAGAGACTGTAGCGTAGTTTCACATTTCACGGCATAGTGGTTGCGTTTTATTTTATTTTCAATGTTTCGAATATATGGTTTGTGATCACACAACTGCCGTTGAGACGCTGTTACCGCACCGAAGGTGCAGTAACCGGTGCTGTACGTGTTGAATGTTTATTGCTTCCAGTTATCTCGCCCATCACGACTTATTTCTTTATTTGATGTTACGTATTCCGCGTTTTCCTATTTAAAAATACAAATTATCCGAAGTAATCAGCGATCTGCAGAATTCCAAAAATTTCAAACATCCATCTAGAATAAACCGACGAGTTATTCTTGCCGTAGAGCGAGTCAACGTGGAATACGTAAGATTCTTCTGTTTTTACTTTTAGGAGAAGAGAGCATGGGAGAACCTTTATATTATATCAGAACCGACCTGGCACCTTTTAATATAACATTCTTGTGAACTCACGAACCCATCAGCATCCGTCACTGTCTGTTAAAATAAGAGTGCAATGTCGTGACAAGAATTAACTGCTTTGCAGAAGTAATAATAGTGAGACCAAATTGTCACAGCGGCCAGATCGGCCCTGATGTGTCTGACAGTATACACATGCTTGTATCGTTAAAAGAAAAATTGTCTATTATGTACGTTGCTAATATAACCGTGTTGGTTGTAGCATCTCCGAACATGGTCGGTAGCAAGCTGGGTCTTCGTATGACCACGTTGCATGAGGAAACGTCGAATGTGGGTAATCAAGCATCCACTCCGATCAACGACGACGATGAGGAGAAGAGCGACGCCGACTATTCTGAATACGACGCATATCAGGTAGCGTATGTTCCCGATCGAATATATCCTCCCCTCCATCCCTTAGTTTTATCAAACGAAAAACACAAGCTCGAAACATAGTGGAACACTCCGACTGTAGATCTCATTTTTTTTCTTTACCACCAGTTGATACAAATTCAACAAATTCGGTTAATACACGATAATGTCTAATTACACCGTCTAACGTTATTTTGCAAATCGAGTGTGAATAGTCATTTTTTAAATGTATTTTTGCCTATTGAATACGAATCCTTTGTCCAAATTTAGTTATCACGTCACAATTTTGAGAAAAATGGCGCTGAAGAAGCCAAAATCGACGATTTTAAGGGTTTTCATGATGTTGTAGCACCGATAGTAAATTTTTCTAAATGTCGTTAATGTCACGCGAAAGTATCAACTTTTTACTTTAAAATGTATTTTGCTTCGTTTTAGTATGATTGCTCGTTTACACGATGTAGCAATTTGAAACTAACGTTTTTTTTTTTTTTTTTTTTTTTTTTTTTTTTTTTTTTTCTCCATGTAATACATGGAAAAGGCATTTTATTCTTATCTTATTCTATTTATTCTTATTTTTTATCTTAATACTATATTATGTGGAAAATAAGTGTTTTTGTTACATAATACGTACTTGGATAATCGAATCATAGTAAATCAAAAAGTAGTATGAAATTGACAGGATATCACACGGAAAAAAAACTAGTCTTAAATCAAGAATAGATATTTTTATATATAAGCAAGAATATTATAATCTTCTTAGAAGATTTTTAGTCTTGAATTGAATCTAAATAATACTTTCATCAATATAAATTCAAACAAATCAAGACTAAAAATTTCCTAAAAAGATTATGATATTCTTGCTTATATCGGAGAATATCTTCTTTTTATCTTAATTTAAGACTAATTTTTTTCCTTGCATATGGCAGGAAGATTGTATAATTGCTTTAAAAAAATCATACCGAAACAAAACAAAATACATCTTAAAATTAAAAGTTGATACTTTCGCGTGGTATTAACGAAATTTTAAAAAAATAATTGCTGTCAGTGCTATATCATCATGAAAAACCTCAAAATCGTCACCTTTGATGTCGTTTTTCCCAAAATTGTGACCTGATGGCCAAAGTTGGACAACAGATTCGTGTTCAGCAGACAAAAATATATTGAAAATAATTATTCACACTCGTGATGCAAAAGAAAAAGGTCAAATTTTGCCGGGCGAAATTATCGCATTATTATCGGTGCTATTGAATTAGAGTCGTAGCGTGATACATTAATATATACAATTGCGTGAGCAGGCCCCACCGAAACCGGTGAAACCGCTACCCGCTTCACGCACACTGGACTCTTTGGTCGAGCTGCAATCGACGAAGATCAACACGCCTAGCATGAGCAGCAGCGGTTACGGCTCTCAAGCCGTGTCCACGACGAATCTAACGTCGGAGGACTCCATCTCCATCAAGTCCATCAGCGTGGACGAGACTCCGGACCTAGAGTACCGTAATCTCCTCGATAACAAGAAACCCGAGAAGATGGACAGTTCCCTCGTCGAGGAAACGCCCGAGGAATACCTGGGGGAAGTGAACTCCGCGTTGGACAACCTGAACGTCGTCTCGCCGGACGTTTGCACAGACGGTCAGTCGCGGCACGCGACCGTCTCGATCTCGTTCCGTCACGAAAGTGTAACTTTCCGTCTTACAGAGCACAGTAGGAAGAATCTAGAAGAGTCAACAGGGGCGTACGCGGATACTGACATCGAGAGCCCGGTCTCCTCCACGAAGAGCGAGAGCGACACCAACAGCAACGTGACTCACCACGTCGAGACGCAGAGAACAAGCGCACACGATCAGATCCTCGACGACAGAAGGAAAAACGAGATGGAGATCAGCCAGACGTCCAATTCCGGGGACGACAGTCCTATGGAAGGAACTTCCGTCGTACACACCAAACTGCCACCTGGCAAGGCGAGTATTTCGCTATTTTTGCAGTGACAATTGGCCAGTCGTACAAAAAGGATTCAATCCATATGGAGTACGTTTCAGGAGAAATAAAGATGAAAATTTGATTCCACATGATTTAAAAAGTATAAGTAGCATTGAGGTTCTTCACAATCGTTCAAGAAGTTAAGTTAATGGTCTACTTTCTTTTTTTTAAGGGTATTCATTGACTTTAAAAAAATAGGTAAAAAAAGACGCAACTAGTAGAAAATGAAAACTGTTTTTTAATTAATGTTAGGTGTCTCATAAGGCTTAGATCTTTTTGTTTTATATAGGAAAACAAAATCTTAAGGCTTCTCTATCTTTATTTTGACTGCCTTTTTGTGATGATGTGAGAACGACGCAGGAGCCTTAAAAATCATAATTTTGAGGGATTCTTCTTGCATAATTATGGCTAATTGCGTATGACGCGCAATCGAACCTTCGACGAATCGAGTTCCGAGGGATTTCTGCTCGATCACGCAAAGGCGTTTAACTACGGTTCGCGTATTTTCTCCAGGTCGTGCGAAGAAGAAAGACTTCTAGTGGTACAGGAAGGCCTACCAGTTCGCAGCATAGAGCTTCGTTTCCTATGGTCCGTCCACAACTTTCTGAGAGTAAGGCTGCAGCACGTTTGGAACAAACGCTACAACCTAGTATGCCATATGAAAACGGCGACAATAGTTCTTCGGAGAGAATCGACGGTACGTTTCTCATTGATTAAGGCTCTTGAGGGTTTTGTTCTGTAATAGAAATGAGAATGGCCAATAAGAGCCCATGCACAGAAGTTGTAGCGCAATAATAAGGAGAAACGTAAATTAATCCTTGAAGCGTGATATCAAGATGTTCCCATATATAACCTTTTATTCGTCCAGACCTTTTGATCTCAGGTTGAATCTTTTTCAATGGTGAACATTAAAACAAAAATACTAAATCAGCAATAAACATATACTTAAAAGATTATAAATGACAAAGAGACAGCAACCGTGATACGTGATACAATCTCGTCGCGGTATAAATATGATAATAGAGTTAAAAAGAATTCAACTTGGGATCGAAACGTCTGGACGAATAAAAGGTTATATCGGAATATCTTGATATCATCACGGCTTCAAGAATTCATTTATATTTTTCCTTATTATTGCACTGCAACTTCTGTGCATAGGCTCTTCTTGGCCATTCTCATTTCTATCAGATTGAATATCTACAGAGTCTTTTCATTTAATTTATTTTTATTCTGTAATATTTTTTTTTTAACGACAGTGTCATTATTATGTTGTTATGTTGCGCAGATATAATACATGATAGAAAAGCTGTGCAACAATATGTAACAATAACGATAACGATGTTAAAAGTTATAAAATAAGCCTATTGATCTCTCGCTGCGATCGTCTTGTTCGCTGAAGCGAGAAAAAGCATGCCCGAAATTCTTGCAAAATATGTGGAAATAAAAAGATACGTCCACAATAAAATGATACTTGCGATCGAGAACATTTATGAAGTATTTCCTTTTGCTCTGACAGTCAATAAATAACTGTAAAATTAACATGACACGTAATCTTCCTTTTTATAGCCTATCATTTCTCATGATATTGTCATGTTAATTTTACAACTATTTATTGATTATTAAAGTAAAAGACAATTTTCGGAATATTTAAAAAATATTATTTCAACATAGATTTTAGGCGTATGTTTTTTCCGCTTCTGACGTTATTGATCAAGATGCTGATGGCGAGAAAACAGAAGCTTTAATATTAGCAGTTCTCATCATTATCACCTGCTGCTGTTACTATTCAGTTGATTATCGCGTACAATGCAGTGCATATGTAATCTATAATTTTTGTGCTAATATGGCTGAAAAAAAAAGCATTTCCCGTATTTTGCAGCAGACGACGTCAGCGATAAAAGTTCGGCTTTCGGTTCGAGGCACGATCTGACGCGAGTGGAAACACCCTTACCGGGCTGGGTCGTCATCGGTGAATCCGTTTTGGTTCGTCCTTACAATTATTCCGGGGTGATAGCGTATATCGGCACCACAGAATTCGCATCCGGAACCTGGATAGGGATTGAACTTGACGCTCCAACCGGTACGAGCGAGGATCTCACGATTTATGCTTTCGTTTCTGAGGTTGACTCGAGTTCTACAACGTCCCGCTTGCTGTTACAGGCAAGAACGATGGTGCTGTTAACGGTCACAGGTACTTCACGTGTCGGTCAAAATGTGGTATATTCGTCAAGGTGGACAAATTGATACAAGACAGACGAATCGGAAGAGCGCTCAGGACCTACACGAAGCAGGAAACCGTGCCGGCACCATCCGCGTCTATGCGCAGGAGCGTTAGCAAGGGTAATTCCTCATCCCGCCGATCCATTAGAATTCTCTCGAGTTCCCCTCGAATTCTCTCACACCTCGAGTATCGTCTTTCAGGCGAAGGGTTACATTCCTTGCACCGAAGTCGCAGCCGAGGGGAGGGCCTCTCCACAACAGGTACACGTTCTTTTCCACGCGGCAAGTAAACGGATCACACACACATACACGAGAAACACACATATACGGAGAGAGAGAGAGAGAGAGAGAGAGAGACACTGCTTCACCATACTTCGTGTTGATGAGGGGGAAAAAAAAGCCACTACATAATATCCTAATTGCTACATGCCTATGATATGTGTAGCAGCAATGTTTCAGTCCTTTAGACATTAGGGCAGCTATCGATTATTAATTATTACAAAGTAATACTTCAAATATTAGGTCATTAATGTGTGTACCACACGAAGCATGGAATGTTCTCGACTCGGATTCACGCTGTGTGAGCGGTGTATCTACTTCGCTATTCCGGGATAGTGACCCGGTGTATAGCCCTCGCCTAGCTATGTGTCGGATGTCGGTTGCGACACCTATTCGATTTTATGTGCATTCCACAGTTTTACTTTAATGACTGCTGCTCCCATACGCGAACCATCGTAATCTGTGTTTCGCAGAGCAGGCATACTTCGTGATTTAATTGTACATTCTAAAGTAATCAAAAGCCAGCACGACGTTTTCTTTTCTCTTCTGTCCCTCGGTGTGCAGCAATCGGAGAGCACACGATAATGATTATTTGTGACGCATATATGTATATATATATATATATA